TCGGTTGGTTGTCATCGGTTGGTTCGGCGTCGGTTGGTTCGTCGTCGGGTGGTTCGCCGTCGGGTGATTCGCCGTCGGTCGGTTCGCCGTTGTTTGATGCGTTTTCAGTGGGTCTGCGATCTGTGGGTTTGCGGTCGGTTGGTCCTTAGTTGGGTAGTCCGTGGTTGGACCGAGTGCGGTCGGTTGAGCCAGCCGATTTGATGATGAGTTCGGACCAAGCGGAGGAGGAGATCGGCTGATGCGAAAATCGGTTGGTACGGAGGTCGGACCAAGTGAGGTCGGGCGAAGAAGAATGAGACGGACGATATGAGGTCGGACAAGAGACTAGATGATGGTCGCTTTGTGGGGCGGCCAAGGAGTCGTTTGGTCTAGCGACCAGTTAGCCTCTGGATTGGTCGGTTGGGTTATGCGGTTGGCGAGACGGTTAAAGATACGTGTCATTGAAGAAGGAGTTAGTAGGCGGTTGAGAGCAATTGTTGTAACCGTCTAGCCGACGGTTCCAAGAAGCGTCTCTTCAGGGAATACTTAAGGATTTGGGTCAAAAAACTGGCGAGGTATCTTCAATCATTTTCAAACAACAGCAAAGTCAGTGATTCGGGGATCATCCTTTAATTTTTAGTCTGTATCATTTATTTTCCAGTTTACTTATGTATTGTACAGTGTTTAGAGATTTCTAATGTCAGGCACTAATTATATCAAATTCGAAGATAATTTCCTATTTTCGGATTTTACTTTTTTATTGTTGAAAAATTGTATCAACAAGTGAAGACCTTTCACTTACGTCACATTAACGTTAGTAATGAAGTGAAGTAGCGGGGATAGTGGAGTAGTGGAAACCTTTTATATAGACCACTACTTCACATAGACCACATAATATTAACATTCTCTCACTTGATCTATAATTTACTCCATAAGAAACAAAATACATGAATCATGGATAGACCATCTTCAACGAGTATTATCTTCCATGTATTACAATGTAGTTTGATTCCTAAAACCACTCAAACATCTTAATGAATAAACCTTATGTTTATTCTAGGTCCTCACCTTCACGATAATTTTCTCAAGACAAATATGCGCATAAAACCAAATGAGAAAAATATCAACTGAACAAGAGTTTTATTTAATACAAAGATGTATGAACAAATGAAATTACATCACAGAACCAAATCCCATTTGTACCACATGATCCTTAAAATTCTTTGGTGGCATGTCTTTAGTTAAGGGATCAGCAATCATCAATTCAGTGCTAACGTGTTCAATGACCACTTTATTTTCTTTAATACGTTCTCTTATGGCTAAGTACTTAATATCGTGTTTACATCGACTACCACTTTTATTATTCTAAGCCATAAAAACCGCAGCTGAATTGTCACAATATATCTTCAATGGCCTAGCAATAGAATCCATGATTTTAAGCCCATATATGAAACTCTTCAACCATACACCATGACAAGTAGCTTTGGAACACGAAACAAATTCTGCCTCCATGGTAGAAGTAGCTGTCAATGTCTGTTTTGCACTTCTCCAGGATATGACTCCATTAGCTAACATGAAAATGTAGCCAGATGTTGATTTTCGAGAATCAACACAACCATCAAAGTCTAAATCAGAGTAACCAATAACATCTAAACTATTGGTTCGTCTGTATATGAGCATGTAATCCTTTGTCCCTTTAAGGTACCTCAATACCTTCTTTGCAGCTCTCCAGTGGTCAGGACCTGGATTACTCTGATATCTTCTTAACACTCCAACAACATATGCTATATCAGGTCTAATACATACCTGAACATACATGATGCTTCCAACCACTGAAGCATATGGAATGTTAGTCATATAATCCGGCTCAAAATCATTCTTAGGGCATTGATCTAAACTGATTTTTGTCGCCCTTGACAATTGGAGCTACATTTGGTGAGAAATCTTTATCCGAAATCTCTCTAAAATTGATATAGGTCTCTTGAGACAAGCCCAAAATGCCTCGAGATCTTTTCCTATGGATCTTAATGCCAATGACATAAAATGTCTCTCCCATATCTTTTATGTCAAAATTTATAGAGAGAAAATATTTCACCTCGTATAGCAAATCTTTATCATTAGTAGCAAGCAAAATATCATCTATATATAGCACAAGAAAACAAATCATACTCCCACTAACCTTCAGGTATATACATTGATCCATAATATTTTCTTCAAAACCAAATGAAGTAATGACATTATGAAACTTTAAATACCACTGACGAGAGGCTTGTTTTAAACTATATATTGATTTATTTAGCTTGCATATTAAATGCTCATCGTCTCTAGAGAAGAATCCTTCAGGTTGTTTCATATAAACCTCTTCATCTAGAGTGTCATTAAGAAATGTCGTTTTCACATCCATTTGATGTAACTCAAAATCAAAGTGCGCTACTAATGCCATTCGAAGAGAATCTTTCTTTGATATAGGAGGAAAAGTCTCCGTGTAGTCGACTCATTCCTATTGAGTGAAACCTTTGGCAACAAGTCGTGCTTAATATCTTTCGATGTTACCTTTCGAGTCTTTCTTTGTTTTAATGACCCACTTACATTTGACGGCTTTTATACCATCAGGTAACTCGACAAGATTCCAAACTTGATTGGATGCCATAGAATCCATCTCTTCTTTCATAGCATTATACCACAAGTTCGATATTGATGAACTCATAGCCTGTGAAAATGTTTCAGGATCATTTTCGACTCCAATATTGTAGTCACACTCTTGTAGGTAGACAATATAATCACCACTGATAGCTGATCTCCTTATTCTAGTAGATCTTCTTAACACTGTATCATTATTCTCTTGAGAAACTTGTTGCTCAGCCGGTCAACAATATCAACTGGTTGTTCAACAATTTCTTGTTGTTCCTCGTATACAGTGTGATCTACTTGATCAGTATCAGCAGCTTGTGGAATTGCGATAGTTGGTCGTCTAATATTGGTTTGTACTTGAGGGGTATAAACGACAACTAATCTATTACTTGAATCGGAGGGTTGAGTTTCATGATGATTCTTTTCAGAAACAACGTTCCGAAGGCGATCACTCCCACTGATCAAGTCATTTTCAAGAAATTTCACGTTTCTTGATTCCACAATTTTAGTACTTTGAGATGGATAATAGAATCTATAACCCTTGGACCTTTCAGCATATCTAATGAAATATCACTAATGGTCCTTGGGTCTAGTTTCTTTTCTTGTGAATTGTAAACTCTCACTTCAGACTGACATCCCCAAACGTGTATAATTATACACTGAAATATACATGGCCATGTAACAACATGGCCGTGTATAATTGTATATGGCCGTGTAATTTCCAGGTCAACTGCCACGTCACCTCTGTCATGTCCACGTCAGCAATTTCCATTAATTTTTTTAACGGTGAGACCAAATTTGATTGAAATTGTTTATAATATGCCCAAAATTGATTGAAATTATTTATATTGAAACTAAAATTAATGAGTTTTTTATATTCGGACCAAAATTGATAAATTTTGGTTATATTAGGACAAAAATTGATGAATTTTTTTATATTGGGACCAAAATTAATTTTTTTCCATAATAATATAATGTTTTAAATAAAAATTTATTTATTTATGTAACATTTGTCTTAACAAAAGTTGAATTTGTTCGTTGTGATTTTAAATGAATTGGTAATATAAAAAATAATATTTTGTATTGAATTATTGAGGTTTTAATTGATAAAATATATATTATATTAATATATATAGTATTTTCCTAATAATATTTATAGGAAATTATTAAAAAAAATATAAGTGAACAAATACACAATACCGTAGGAAATGAATGTTGATTGTTATTTGAAAATGCAATCAAATTTTAACATTACATTTATATTTTTGGCTTCTTTATTTTTTTAATCATTTTAATTATATATTGAAAGAAATAAAGTAAATATTTTCTTTGCAATCCAAACCCAAAAAAGACGTACCATATCTTAAATATCAAACTTCTAGGTTATATTTGATAGGTTTATTACTCAACTTTGAATTTAAATGCTTGACACAACAGCTTCATGTATGCATTTTATAGTTTATATTGTCATTAAAAATAGTTAGCTTTAATTTTATATAAAATTGAGGGTGTGTTTATTTTGTAAAATTGTTTGAAATAATATATATATTTTATTGTATGAAGAATAAAAAATTATATAAGCAATATAAAAAATAATAACTATGTTATATAGTTGCAGATCCAATCGGCTAAGTTAGCGTATACCATATGTTTATAAATATTTCAGTTTCCTTTTTGCATGTTAATATTTGAATATTAATTATTATATCGAAACATAATACAAATTAAGGAAAAACGATATAAAAATATTTTTAATATTAGAAACAATAACGCCAAAATACAAATATATAAATATATATCAATCACCCCTATGGTATATATTAATCAAAATTGAGATTAAATTAGCACGATTCATGCCCCTAATATATTAATTTTTTTAAAAAGTCTTTTTCACAAAAAAGAACACAAGAGTTTCATAATAATTTAAAATATATACTCCCTCCGTCCCACGTAATTTGTCCCTATTTTCTATTTTCGTACGTCCCATATAACTTGTTCTTTCTATTTTTGAAAATATAATTATGCTCGCATTTTAAATTTTATAATTTTTTTAATTTTAATTAAACTATTTACTTATCTTAATCTTAATTTATAATTATTTTTACTAATACACTTTTTAATTACTTACTAATTATATTTACCTGAATTATCGTATCTACAGTAATACGTCCACATGACATGGGATGGAGGGAGTATAATATATATCAAAATGTTTTCTATGCTCCATAGGCAATATTTTCTCAAATAAACTTTTAAAACCTTCTTTATGAATGCTTTTAAATTAAATTTATTTGAATGAAAATTAAAAACTAAATAGAATTCTCAAATCAATTTTTACATTAAAAATTATTTATCATAACTATATATAATACGGGAAATTAAAACACAACTAAGAACCAACCACATATATATATATATAATAGTGTATCGGTCGAGTTTAGTTAAACAAACTCATTAGTCGAAATGACAACACTACCCTAAAACAGGAGAACAAGTCGAAACCCTTGGGCATAATAGAACCATTGTACATAACTATAAATAATGTACATTATAACAACCTAGTGCTAGTGTATTTTGGGATGACGACTATACCCCTAAACCGCGCCGTCACCATGACCATTACCATTACCATTACCGTTACTTAGGCGTTATAGAAAACAAAATATAAAGACGAAAGATGGATCATCAATTGTACCGAATAGAAACTTACTTGAATGTTGCCGGCATCTCATTAGCAGCTCCGCTTGTTGCCACCGCGCATTCGTTTGGAAATGTTACCTCTGGAGACAGGGCCTTGGGAGGAGGGTGTGCCAATAGCCGGAGTAGAGTTGTGTGGCAACGAGTGATGCCGGTTTTTTATAGAAACAACGCCGCGTTGGTAATGGGGAGTGTTGTTTTGGTGCCTGAGGTGGTTTCTAGGGGGGTGGTTTGCTGTCTTCCCAGAGTTGTTGGGCTGGTCAATGACCATTGTAGCAAGAGAGTCTTCAAGGGGTAATGAGATCCCGGCCATCCCGTCGTAGGATAGAGTGCACGCTATTGCGTGTAGTGAGGCTCCCAGGTGTTCCGGTAGGATCTTTTGCGGCTGTGTCACCTGCCAAGAAGAAACATAAAGAAACTAATGATCATGTGTATCTACTAATCGAGTCCTCGAGTATGAATACCTCAAATGAACTATAAGTAACATATTGGCAATAGTAAAATTAACCCTAAGCCCCGCCCCAGTGGCGAATGTTGCTAATATTAGCAAACAATCCTCGAATCCATCACCAAATCATGCTCTTAAATTCGGCTCATTTAACTCGTCAAAACAGCAATTTAACGAGTTTGAACAAGCCAAACTTAGGTATAACTCTAGAAATATGCAACCTTGACATCAGCAGAAAACAAAGGAGTACACATAAGGTTGCATATTTGAATAGTTGCAAACTTGTATATGTGTCGCAACAACAACTGCTATTGTCTTGACTATAATTAGTTACTGACAGCACACAAAATAAATATCGGCAACACATGGAATATAAACGGATAGTACAAATATATATTGATACAATATAGATACAATAAATGAACGGACATGAAATGTCAGTACATAATATATATATTAACACAACACACATATAAACTAGAACAAACAGCTACTGCTAACAAGATGTACAACATACATTGCCGGCTCTATTTTCATGTGCTAATTAAGACTAATAAAGCATGGTGGTGCAGATTAGCCCCAATCAACACTCTAGCCATTCCCCATATATGTATACATTGCAACTGAGTATATTTAGAGAGAGCAGAACTAGCAAGTAGCCGAAGCCTATATCATAGAGCATGGTTTCATGTCTGTTCAGATTCAAGTGTGATAAAATAATTCAATTAATTTGCAAGAGAGAACTTACTTTGTGTAGAACTGCTGCAGAAAGCCTCTCCCTCAAACAATAAACCTGCGCGACATCAAGGGCCGTCGATTCGAAAGGAAGCCACCGATCAGCGACGACTTTAACAACATTGCCGGGTGAGGACATAATCTTCTCACCACGGTGGGAATTCAGTGTTTCGGAACACATTGTATCATTCTCATCACTATCATCATCGTTATCGTCAGATTCACTTTCACCATCATCATCATCATCATCGTCATTTTCAGCCGGAATGACGGCAATCTCAGTAGCCAGTAGCAATAGTGGAAGTGGAGCCACAACACTACAGTTCTTAATGTGAAGCCCCCCGTCTCCACGTGTAATTTCATCAAAGACAATCAAAGGTTCAGGACAATTTCTCTTGAACGACAACTTTCCATTGGTTGAATGAGGATGCAACCGCACCTTATTCCCGTCAGCTGTTTCGACAAGTGTCCTCTTACCGTGCGGGATCACTCTCCCAACCATTGGATATAGACCCGCAACGACAACAGCATGAAGGATTCCTGGATCACAGGCATTTAGACTGCACCGAGAAGCATCATCGGGCATAAAACCATTTCGGACAAGTTCAGTCTCAAGCTGCTTGCGCATTCCTGAGAGCATTTTCATAGTGCTCGCAGAAACGAAGTACTGAGAACAGAACCGAGCTTCTTCACCTCTTTCCTTGGCCATTTTCCAGCAATCAAAGGCTGCTATTACGGCTAACTGATCTCCATTCCCTCCGTAATAGGAAGCCAGCTCTGATTTAGCCAATTGGGCTCTCTTCTTTTCATTAGGCAACATAGGTAGAATGAACGGGTCCCTGTAGTCGGAAGCACAGGCTAATGTCAATGCTGGATCGAGACAATTCAATAGTATTGCAATAAATAGCATCTTGCTTGTGAGCGGATGAACAGGCAGGGCTCCAAGTTTCTCGCCAAGATCTGTGAGTTTCTCATCAGAAGATAGAGCTCCGATATCTTGAAGAACAATGATTGCATTGTGTATCGTCTCGTAAACAGGGGGGTCCAGTGTTTTCTGCAAAAATTCTTCGATTTTACAAGATGGATCGATAAGCTTCACCTGTTGAAGGAAACAGAAACAGTTAATACATTATTTGAGAAATACTGCGGCGATCTATTTGAAAATGTACAAACATACAGAGGACATGAGATCAAGTCTTAGATCCGGTTAAAATATAAAAACAACAGTGGAAACAACACAAGGACACACACTCAATTTTTTTTTTTTTTACTTTCAATACATAGAAGCAGTTTTAGCACCTGCAGACATAGCTCTTCTATCGGCATCCTCTTAATCTCAGGCACTTGGAAATCTGGGAGTGAAGCAGCCCGAAGTTTTGAGAAAAGATGATAACAAATACCAGGTTGGCAACGCCCTGCTCGTCCTTCCCTCTGTTTCACGCTTGCTTTCGAAATCCAAGAAGAATGAAGAGTCGATACATTGTTGTATGGGTCATAGCTTTTTTCCTTCATTCTACCGCTGTCTATAACATAAACAACATCCTCAATGGTGACAGAAGTCTCTGCTATATTAGTTGAAAGAACAATTTTACGGCAGCCAGGCTGGGGGCGCTTGAACACTTTTTTTTGCTCAGCCAATGGTACCATAGAATGGAGAGAATGGATTACGAATCTAGAAGGATCCCTGAAGAAGGGGCTGGCTACTAATCTCTCACGTGTTCGATTTATGTCATCCCAACCAGGGAGAAACACAAGAACAGCCCCGATCTTTGAGTCACTGCATATTTTCCTCAACAGCTGTTCAATAAGCACGCAATCAATTAGTTCAGGGTCAACATTTGATATGTATTTGTCAAGTAATTGCTGCTCTTCATCGGAGTACTTAAATGTCTTCTCCATATGCTTTTGGATAATCTCAGCAGTTTCAGTATGATTATCTTGCTGAGCATAATCTAAAGCAGTCTTTCCCTCCCTTGACTGTAAATTGCAGTCCGCACCAAACGAGAGAAGCATGCAAACATCACCAACTCGTCCCTTCGCAGCAAGTACCATCAGTGGCGTTACACCAGTTATGGAGTGCGAGTGATTAAAAAGGCCAGCACTCCCTTCTGAAGATATTAACTCAAGGAGGGGTTCAAACTCATCATTCGACAGAGCTAAGTCAATAGCCTCATCGAGAGCAACCTTATGCTCATCACTCAAGGAAGAGTTTTTGATAAACTCATCCAATTTCGTGTGTTTGTTTTCTGGAGATCTCACAATAGATAGTACATCTTCTAGGTAGAGAGATTTTACCTGAAACATAAAAAACAAAAAGAAAATGAATAATTATAACAGAAATATTAATTTATAAAATAAAAGAAGCATGCCCCTGACCCTCAGCTATTGCATGAACGAAAGAATGAATAATATGGTGCATTTTATTTTTAAAACAGGTAGTTTTTTAACATGGTACAAGCGAAAAAGCAGTCCCATTTCAATGCCCCTGCCTGCGTTGTGAAGGCCCCCCAGTTGGAAGAATAACATAGGAATAAATTTAAAATTATCAGTTCAAACTTTTAAGTGACACAATCGTTTAACATAAATTAATATAAAAAATTTCGTCACCAGTAAACTGGAAGAGGCAACTCACAGGATATGTAAAGCCAGGAACTTGAATTATTGGGCAGCCACCAAAGTATTTCGAGAATCTGTCTGCATCAATTGTGGCACTCATCAATACCTGTTCCAGCCCATAGACCATAAAAAATTTCACTAAAAACCAATTGCATTCATTGAAAGACCTATAGACTTCATATATATATGTTGAGCAAGAATAAAAGTTATGAAGATACTAACCAGACGAAGATGAGAATACAAAGGAAGCATGTCCCTGGAGACATATTAGAATATAATATACAAAAGAATTTACAAGATTTTTAGATTATAATATAAATTACAAAATAATTGTATCCAAAACATAATAAACTGAAATTGAGATCACATGCGCCTTAAAAATAAAATAAAAGTCAAAACTCAACACAAGCAAAATATATACCTGATTATTGCAAGCATAAAGTCTGAGTAGCGATCCCTTTCATGAATTTCATCCTAAAGGTAGAAAACACATTGTAAGAAAGAGAACAAAGATATAAGAACCAGAGATTATGGGTTGAACTATACTGGAAATGAATTAAAACTAAAAAAAAAGTACATGAAATTTCAGAGAAGGAATCAAATATGTAGTGTGCCCAAGAAATGTGCTGAAGAATAGAACACAGCTACCGAAAGAATCAGCACAAATTAAATCATATTGTCTTTTGTACTACGAGAAAACTATAATAACTATAAGTCAGTAGCACAAAGCAGACAAAGTCAAGCTCTCCAAATAGGTTAGATAAGTTTAGAGGTATATATAACATTATGAATAGTGTTCAGTGATTATAAGGAAACCAACAGGCAGCTCTCACCCAGAGGTCAAAAATAAATAAATAAATAATAGATAGATCTGGACAACCAAATATTCAAATAACAAAGATACAACGGAAGCGACTAGGGGTGTGTTTGTTTGGGGGTTTAGGTTTTGGATAATAAAATTTTGAATTAGAACAATTGTTTGATGTGATATAAATAAGTAGTGATGTGATGTTTTAAATGTAAAATTAATTTTAAATATAAGATAAACAAATAAAAAATAAGTGTTTAATTTGATATTTTTTTAAAGGAAAATTTTTTAGTGAATAATGGTAAACCTAAAAAACCTCCCAATATAGCACAACATGTTCAAGTCAAATTAAAAATTGTTCTGTGGTGACAAAAAGAACTGTTGGGGACAGCCCATATATATATAACACTAGAACAATCAAAGATAACATAAACTTTAATGTTTGATGTCACATATAATATATGGGTAGAGAAGAATACCACAATAATGTGTGTGATGTCAGAGATGCTATTCGACTTTTTTTTGGCTTTTTTCTTTGTTCTGCCACTTCCTCTGCTGACTAGAATCCGGAGCAAAACTCCATTGGTGCAGAACACAAGAGATGAATGCCTTCCACCTTTGCTCTCCAGCCGAATCTGGTATTTTATATTATCAGATAAAGTCATAACAGAAGGCAAGTTCAAAGGAGTGCCTAATAATTCTTGAGGTGATTAAAATAGTTATTTTCATCAATGTAGTTTAGCAAGACAGAAATCTACTTGGCCAATCCATAGACCTTCTGAAAAGACATTCAACTTTCCAGATTGTTCCAATGCTATTTTCAAAGATATATTCACAATCAATGCTGAAAAACTTTACTTCAGTACATGCTTGGAATCTATAGTCATGGGTGCTTTAAGAATGGTTACATTTTCCAATTTCAACAGTAAACACAAGTATTGAGTTCGGATAATAATAAGTTATACAGAGTAATTGTATACATAACTTTTACTAAATAACATAATTAGAAAAAGCAGATAAACAGCTGCTAAGTAGATCCGGCAGTACCTTGTATCCAACAGAATCCCCAACATTTTCACCTCTTTCTGAAGCAATCCTTTCAGCCACTGCACTTCAAAAATGGAGTATAGGCATATACTTGCATATGATTAAGGCAATAAAAACATATATAAATACATTTGTTCAAGTTAAAATAGGTTCTGTTCTCACCTGACGTGGCAGAAATTCTGCGTGGCTGTGTACAAATTATTTTGCAGGTCTCTCCCTTACCCCATGCATGGTCCATTAGAAATTGTGGGACCTTAATCATTTCGTTGAAAATAAGTTTCACATGTAATATTTAAAGACACGCTCTCAAGATCAATATAAGTAGTGAGATATTGTGCAGCTTTTCGGATGACACTATCATCACTGGTTTTAAAGTCACGACATTATGTTGCAGCTGAAGGTAAGATATTGCATGAATCTCCAGGATAATATTTATAGTAATATAAGCAACAAATTTATGGGGTAAAATGTGTTAGAAACAACTATACTAAGCTAAGCTAATGAGGCATATAAAGAAACAACTATACTAAGCTAAGGATGTCCCTTGAATGCATGAGAATTTATTTGAAAATTAAACTGGCAATCATTCATCAGATTTTTTTTTAAATCATAGAGAAAATGCATATGTGTATTGTGATTAATACTGCAATACATATAAGAAGAAATGCATGCATACATGTAGTGGTCACAAAACAAAAAAGGAAACCATTGAGTGTCAGAGATTCCAAAATTCCATTCCAAGAGAGGTTGACAACATGTCTTTGTTATGATTATAAACATATTTTCCATCTAAACATTCTATACCTAATCTAGTTAAAGGCTTATGCATGCTCCTGCAAATACTGCACATATCCTTAAATCTTTGACGACAAGAGTTCAGTAAATCTCAAGTAAACTAGGGTTTTTCGATTTAATATAAGGAGAATAAAATTGAAAAGAAAATATATAATCTTGCATGATAACAAAACCGCCAACTACGCAACATGCACAGTTACAAATTTCATTCGCCCATCACAAAAATGATATTGTAATTACCATAAGAAACACATATTGGCTTAATAGCAACCCACAGGACACCATCCATTTAAAAATGATTGACATAGAGTGGCAAAACTTGAAACTAGTAGTTAATAAATAATCCTCCTTTTGCCAAGATAGTAAAAGAAGAAGGTTAAGAAAATGTATAAAACAACTACCTGTGTGGTTTTCCCACATCCAGTTTCACCACATATGAGCACAACCTGTTTGAAATGATGGACAAACAAGAATTAGAGATTATTAAAAAAATAAAAAAATAAAAGAGCATCCAACTGTGTACTATGATAAACTTTAATCCTACTCCATTAAAAGGGATTGAAACTGACAGGCCAAACTCTTAAGCTACGGTGCCTTTGTTAAAGGGTCTAGGTGTTCTTTATAGTTTGAAACAGTCATGATTATAAAAGTGATACCTCCTAGTTATGTATCATAAACTAAATAAAATGAAGCTTTACGTATGGCCAACCTGATGAGAATCTACTGTGGATGTAATATTATCTTCGAAAGATGCAATTGGAAGCTTGGATCTCTCCTCAGTGATCTGCACAACTATCATCCATAATTATCATAGTTAAATGTAACAATTGAAAATATATACTGAGAAGGCAACAGACCTGTCTCAAGTTTGGGACCTTTTTTATTTTAGAAGCGAGTGATTCCACTTTGTTCTCAATATCTGACTTGTTCATTGTTGGTTTACAAAACATGTCGTCTTTTGTTCCCCGTACATTGCCATTTTTAACACTACATTCTCCAACTTTACTTTCAGTCATCTCTACATCATCAGGGGGATACTGAGTGAACAAATCCTGTAAAACAGATTTAGCTCCTTCTGAAAATCTGAAAGAAACAAGATTTTCCTTCCCTTTAACTGAGCCAACTGCCTTTTTGGTCTTATACACAGAAATACGACGTTGCTGCCCCCGCCTACATAATGCTATTATTAGGACAAAAGCAAATCGTGTAGCTCATATTTTAAGGGATCCTCATAATAGTAATGATTACAACGTTCAGCCTATCCATAGCTCACCCAGAACTTTTGGACTTCAAGCCCATTTTCCGGGATAATGCATGCACAGCAGCCCTTTCTTGGTTTGTCAGGTTTTCTTCAAATTTGTACACTGGAATCAAATTTGTGTGAGAGTAGCATTTGGATTTCAGAGCACAACCAGAAAGAATAACATCATCTTTCAAGAAATTGGCCAGAGGCAAAATCATTTACACTTCAAAATGGGACTCATAACATCCATATTTTTCTTATAATCATCCCTAAATTTCCATGTTCAGTTTAAGAGTAACAAAAAGATATTGTAGTCAGAAAATCAAGATAGCTTCATTTTTTAAAATATTGATTCAAGATAGTTATTTTTTTAAAAGCATTCTGGATTAAATTAAACTATAGAACACATGGTATGAAGATTACTAAAACACCAACTTTAAAACAGTCATTAACTAACAAAAGGCTATTTTTCAGAACACATCAACACAATGTTGAATGTTTAAGTGCAGTAGCACTGACGTTCATTCCTTTCAAAAGCCGTTAATTAAAATATGAACAGAAGTCGTACACTAATGTACTCATGAGCATGCGATTTATTAAAAGAATCAAAGGAAAACACTACATCTATAATTCAATATCAATAGTCCAATTTTCCAAAAACGAATCTGTCTGAAGAACATATAGTATAATCAAATAACAGATGTTAAAATTGATAATGAACAGGTGCAACTCTCACTGACCATACTAATATCCGTAAGAATCACAACTAAACCTATAAGCCAATTTCAAACATATAAGAATCAACAGGAGCTAAAGAAGTGTCAAAGGACAAGTCATACAAACTATCCCAAACTCAAAAAAACCAATAATTTCCATCACTTCTGTGTCAAAGCAGCTCAACCAAATCCGACAAATACAAAAATGAGAGATTAAAAAACCCTATCAAAGTAACCCTCCCAATTTCCAGCGGCGAAGCATCATCCTCCGTTCCAAAAATAAATAAATAAACAAAAAATCCTAGGGTTCCATAACAAGCAAATTCGAGGATTATTGGCTGACCTTCAGCGTCCGAAACGCGGAACTGCTCGAGAATCTGCGCAATCCGAATGCGAGTGGCTTCGGCGACATTGGTGACCTCGAATAGGTTCCTCCCTTTCTTCTGCCGCTTCTTCCCTCCGCCATTAGCATCCGAACCCGGAGCCATCCGAGAAACTGAGAAGAAATCGAGAGATAGTTTTGGGAATTTGGGGAAGAACAGTCGCTTGCCTTTCAAACTCTCTCTTTCTCTGCGTTTTCCAACACTTATACTGCGGATTTCTTCCGGGGTAATATCGGTAATTCATATTTAAACCTGCCTGGAGCTTTTATAAATCAAAGGTTGTGTTTGTTTAGGGTGGTAGGCTGTGTCATATCTGTTACTTAATTCAATTAGGCGTTTTTATTAAAATATTTGGTAAAATAATAGTTTAATATACATTTATTTATAAAATGACAATTAAAGATATTTTATATTTTATTTTTTAAATATATAGTTGAGTTTTTACATTTTTAGAATTTTATTATTAATTTAAAATTTAGAAAAATTTTATTAAGATATTTATTTTTAAAATTTTTGTAAAAAATTAATGCAAGTTTATTGAAATTTATATATATACATAGAAATAGTATAAATATAATATATATATGTATTTTTATTGGATTAATTTTTAATTAATATATATTTACATTAAATTTATTGGATTAATTTTTAATAAATATATTTATTTTTAATAAAATATTATGTGATAAAATATACTATATAAATGAATCAATAATATTAATATTTTTATATTATTTTTATTTTAAAAATTTTTTAAAAAAATTATAAATAAGATAATTGAAATATAAAAAAAAATATTTTAAATTTATAAATATAAATTTATAAGTTATTAGAAGAAATATATCCAATAATTAATAAATAGTAGCATAATAAAAAAATATATTAATATATGTGAAAGAATTAATTAATTTTAAGAACGGAATAAAAAGAATTAAAATGAAAAAATTAAAATCTAAAACGATGGGATATAAAGTTTTTTCAAAATTAGCTTTTGGATGCTTATTTACTAAACACCAAAATTAGTTGGTTTACTTGGTCAAACAATAAAAGTTCTTCAATAAACTAACAGTTGTTTAATAAGTTGTTTACCAAACACCAAAATTAGCCGGTTTATGATCAAACAACTAAAAAGTTATCTAATAAGTTGTTTACCAAACACCCTCTTAGTTGTTAGGTTTAGATTTTTTAAACAATAAAAAGTTAATTTTAATAGTTGTTTGAGCGTATAAATAGATGTTTATGTGATATTTTAAATGTAAAATAAATTTGTAATAAAATAAAAAAATGAAAAGTAATTGTTTAAAAATAAATTTGTACTGTAATATAAAAAATAAAAAATAATTGTTTGATATGATATTTGTAGAAGAAAAAAAAAAACAAAAAAATCTCAATTAACTTCCGGAAAAATCACAAGAACACAACCAAATATTTTTTCTACATATTTAATCGTCTGTTATTCTATAAAACATACTCAATTTTATAGAATATTTTATAAGGGTGTGTTTCTTTAGGAGGTTTTGGGGAAATTTAGTTTTGGGTTTGGTTTTTATGTATAGTAATTTGTATAATTTAATTATAAATTTATATTATATTTATATATATTTTTTAAAATTTTTATTAATTTGTATTATAAAAAAATTTATTATCTGCAAAATGACATATATATTGTATATATTTTATTAAATTATAATTTTTTTCATATTTATAATTAAAAAAGAAAAAAAGGACAGACTCCTCCAAACTCTCATAGACCCTAAATATATCCTTTTTTTTTAAAATAGATATTAAATCAATATTTTAAGTATAATACTCTTTCACTCAAAGTAAAAAATATACATTTATTTTTGGGGCGAAATTTAAAAAAAAATATTATTTTAGATAAAAGTAGTATTTAAGAAATTTAATGAAATAGTTATTATGCCAAAGTACAAATATGTATAAATAAAAAACCACACGATCCAATATAAAGTATCGAATAATATCAAACAATAAGAAAAACAATGATAAAGAAAGAAATGGTTAATAAGATAGATAACATTGATAAAGCAATTAACAAGAGTATTGTCGAAACGATAGAACTTACAAAGAAAGTAATGGATAGTTAGATAGTTAAGAAGAAATAACATCGATAAAGTTAATAACAACGAACAATAATACTATTGTCGAAAGTAAAGAATGTACACAGAAAGTAAAGTAATGAATGGTTAAGAAGAAGATAGCAGGAATAAAGCGAACAACAACAACAACGGTATTGTCGAAAGTAACAAATTTACACAGAAAAGTAAAGTAATGAATAATTAAGAAAATATTCAACTTATTATGAAGTCCCTCCGTTGCAATAATAGTGAAGGCCGTTGCTGTGAGCTCCATTTGAATTTGAATTTGAATTCGAATTCGATAGAACCGGCGTCAGACCCCAAATGCGTATGGTTCGATCATCGCTGGCTGAAGCAAGCATGTAAGGGTTTGCCGGATTCCAGGCGACACAGTTGACAGCCCCGGTGTGCCCCGACAATGTCAAAATGAGATCTCCCGAGATTCGGTGCCAAATGTAAACCTACAAATAGCTCAAACTATTTAGCACCCTTCATTAGATTTTCTCTTTCTAAAACATATTATATCCGGTAGAGAACACACACTTGCAAACTAACACGATATCTAATATACTCCCCGTCCGGAATATCATGTTAATATAACAATAGTCCACACAACTAATGTCACCAAGCCATTGATCTCAGCACATATCATGTCATATAATATACTCCGTCCGTCCGGAATATTTATACTGAGTTTTTTTCTTTTTTCTTTTTTTTACTATCCATTGAACTCATACAGTATTTATTTACCGTAAATAACCTTATCCACTCATGTCACTATCTTTTCTACTATCTCGTTTTTTTATAACTTTTCAAAAATATTTTTATAATCACCTTATTTTACTTTTTCACAAACTCTATTTTTACATTAAAATATTATTATTTTAACATATGAAATAATATATAATTAATATCACATGAGAATAGTCCACACAACAAATATCACAATTGATTTTAACACATACCACATGTTAACACAAACACGATATGTTAACGCAAGCACAATATATAATATATAACTGACCACATGCGCCAATGAATTAATTAATGCCAATAGAGACTTGAATTTATAAACTTGGTTACCTGTGAATCCTCACTTCCGCTGGCGACAAATGCCTGGTTGGATCCACCGAAACACGACCTGACAACAAAACGAGCACGTTTATGGCCTTTGTATTTAGTGACCATCCGAGGATAGCCATCGATGTTCCAAAGATGAAGTTCTTGGTCCGCTAAGCTAACGAGCAAATATTTCCGGTCTTCTGACAGGACAAATGAAGTTATCCATTGATCCTCTTCGATGAATCTCTCGGACTTCGTTTCCAACCCAAAGAATTGTATTGTATTTTCTCTACAAATCGTTATGAGCTCCTTCCCGTCCATAGTGATCCCCATATCAGCTATTCGGGCAGTGTTAGGCCCGTTCCAACATTCCAATTCCGTGCCGTTTAAATCCCACATGCTGACACTTTTATCGTTGATGCCGGTAAATATTCTCATCCCATCAAGAGACCACGCGCAAGAAACAAGACCAAGAGAACCTTTTTCATATGTGTGGAGGCATTCTCCGGAGGCTACGTCCCACCGTCTAACAGACTCCTGTAAACCACACGTAAGAAGCTGATCGTTGCAGTGTCTCCACGAAAGATAAGCGACGGGTTTCTGATGACCGGACAGTCTATGCTTTAATGAAATTTGACCATCAGCCGCAACCTAGGCCAGTCAACAAAGATACAATACATAAGCAGATGACAAGGGGGCATAATTTTAATGTCCGAGACTTTGTCCATCAGCATTATGTCAAAGCAGAAATTATAAAATGCGGCGAATTTTCAGCAGTATTACCAGAGAACAAACAAAATTCAGACAAGTTTACGTTAGGAGAAAAAACAATCAATTCATTTAAAAGAAGGATAATGGAAAACATACATTGAAGAAGGATTTGGCATTCAAGTTGATGGTAGAGTAAAAAAAAAACCAAAAATGAATGCGATCACACTAACCAATCTCTCTATCAATGACTTCATATCGAATCCCAGCACCAAATGAAACACGAACCAATCAATAAACAAAATGATAATCAAAGCCCGCATACCTCCCATATAATCACGACACAATCACCCGATGATGAAGCCAAGTACTTTCCATCACGAGAGAATTGCAAAAACCACACTTCATCATCGTGCTCTTGTAATATCTGTATTGTTATAAGAAATAAAACACAAAAACAACAGTCAAGGTAACTGATTAAGTACAACCTAATGAGATGCATATGATTCTTCATAATAAAGAAATCACGACTTGTTTTCTATCCTTCGGGCATAATCTCATTGTTACAAACTCATTTTCATCCCGAGCAACAGCAAATAATAAAAATAAAAGAATTTATGCTACCTGCAAGGTTTGAGATGGCATATGTTCTTTTCCACACTGATGATCCGCAAGCAAAGACATTTCCCCAACTGAGGAATTGTGAAACCGACAGGCATCCTTTTGCAAGGAAAGCGCTTGTTCGACAAGATGGACCAATCTTTTTTCGGGAACCATAACCGAAGGGGGAAGCAGCTTATGCAAATTCTCCAGTAACTTTTTACGAGAGTTGATCCTCCGCTCAGGGCCAGAAGTTTCACCATTTGAGTTCGATGAGGGGAACACTACAAGCAAAGACAGCTCTTGCATTCTCTCATGCTTTACACCAAGCGGAGCCATCTCTGCCCTCAACGTCTTCAAAGCATCCATTGTTTTATTTTCGTCCAAAAGTTCCATGAACTTTTGCTCCAATATTACAAAAGATGCTAATTCAATAACCGACTCATCTATTCGACCAATTTCAGCCAACAATCTAACACTCTCATCCCATCGACCTTCAAGTATTTGATTCACAAACAATTCAACCACAGGCGTGTGCAGCGAAATTCCAGATTCCTCCGTTAGACAAGCCCCTGTGTCAGAGTAACCAAGAGACTGCAATGCATCGGCAATAATCCGAACAAGTTCAACTTTCTTAATAACACCTTTTGAACCAACAACCTCCTCCTCTTCGGATGCTAAAAGCCGAGCCATCGGATTACTTTTCCCACTTGGTGATGAAAAATTACAAACAGTTCCTGCAGATGACAATTTCACACGTTTCGATGGTGGTTGGTCATCCCCAACACCTCCCATGAAAAAGGTGCTTCAGCCCATATATGAGAGTATCAAGACAGCAACGAATACTAATTCAAACTATCCTTCAAAGATACCAAACAAAATAATAGTTAATTAAAACCATTTTTTGGGAGATTTCAAAGTGAAACTCTAACTTCATGTGCAAAACAGAGCTTAAAATGTCAAAAATCTAAGCAAAATTCATCCTTTCATCACAAGCATGTCACTGTAAGCCGAGAGGAATTATCTAAAGCTACAATGTCCTTCAATGGTTCATTTAAGTAACCTATTTGATACAAAATATTATTCAGAAATCAATCAAATTTTCATAAACAGAATGAAGTACTGCAACTTTATACATTAATGGTATGGTTTTGCTATCTATTTGGCTTAGAGATCATTTTCAATAATATAGTTTTGGCAACACTAAAAAAGGCCAATGCTTCCAAATTTGCGTAAGAATTTGCATACGAAAAAATTCACTACTAAAATTACTACAACACGACCTCGAAATGCCTCCATTAACAAGCAGAGAATAAAATTACAGTACACAAATCAAAATACCGTACACCAAAAAAATGTCTAACAATTTCAACTTCCTCGATCGTTCTTCAAAAAATTAAATGCACAGAAAAAACAAACGAATAACATACAAACTAATTCCTCGTATCAATCTCATTGACAAAAGCATCCGATTGTAATTTCCGATATCAAGACCTAAATCAAACCAATCACAATTCATCGAAGCACAAACAAGCAAATATATATATATATATGCATATCGTCGCCTAAGCGGCTGAAAACGCAGAACTTACCGGCGGCGAACGTGGTAACAGATAAGCAGATTTTCAGCGAATACCGAAGCAGAAGCAGCGTATCGGTGAGACTGCGGAATTGCAGAAAGGGATCCGATTCATGAAGGCCTATTTATTTATTTTGCTAATTTCATTTATTATTAACATTTTTTATTAATTAGTTTCTTTTTTTTTTTTTTTTTTTTTTGGTTGTTAGGCAAGAAGGATAAACATTGAAATAAGGCAAAATTGTTTATAGGGCAAAAATTAGTTTCATTCAAACCCTTTTTTTTTCTCATGAAAAAATTATTAAAATTACTAGTACATAAAACAAAATTTATCATTTTTAATTTTATCATTCAAAATTTAACTGATCAACGTAGTTGTTACACACTGATCTGACAGCTAAGTCGGATTGAATGTAGTGTTACATAAAATATGACCGTGTTTAAACTAACAATTCATCCACCGTTCTAATCAAATTAAACACAAGTGTTAATAGATTATAGACTCATGTCTATCTTCCGTTTCAGTTGGCGTGTTTGAACATAGGCATGTTTAGTTCAAACACGCTCGTGTTCAGTCCCACGACACATCTTTCAGTGATTGTGCTTAAACACTGACATATTTATTTCAAATACAGTTGTGTTGAATCTTAAAACAACTCTGGTTGATTTAAAATTAAGTAATCACGATTGTGTTCCAAAATATACGTAGCCTTGTTGGAGTTAGTTTAAATAAAACACCCTAGCCTCACATGTCCCAATTTCAAATTTAGTCGACATTCTCGGGCTTAGTTTGCAGAGTATTACGTCCGGTCGAAAATTTACTCAATGTACATTTCAGTAGCGATTGCGGGTTCCACGTCATAATATATATATAGTTGACATTATTCAAAATCCCCCACATTCCAATCCTACCTCTCTAATATTTTAATCATACATTCTACATGTTATATTTTATCTTCTTTGGAGTGAAGAATATTTTTGTGGAATCGTTTGTGAAGGTAAATTTTAAATTAATTTTTTCTTCGGTTTATTGTATCTTATGATATAAAAAATGATAATAATGTATTTTTTTGTAATTAATAAATTATACTGTATGAAAAAACTAAATAGTATGGAGATAAGTTTTTATATAATTTATTTTATGATTAAGGCATATTTTTTTGTATTTTATAAGTAGTGCATTAAAATTGTGCTATATTATAACTTGTATTGTATTATCATAAAATTGAATTACGATAAGGGAAAATGTGTTAAGAAATATATGATGAAGATATAGATTTAGATTGCAATGAAATTCGAAAAAAAATGAGTGAAATGAAATGCTTAATGAATCAGATTTTGAGGATTCTAATTATACGACAGAAGAACAAGATTCAGAAGACGATAAGATTGCTGAGTCATTATTCGAGAGTAACGTGGATATAAATGAATTTAATAAAAATCAAAGTGTCACGGTGCATCAAAATTTTGAAGATGAGACGTCACTGGGTGATTCCCAAGAAAAAAAATTGAACTAGCTTTATCGAGTCCGATGTTGATGAGATGGAGTTGCCTTTTATAATTCAGAGTTAAAGTATGATCAAAATTTTAGTATTGGGATGATTTTTAGCTCGAAAAATAATAAAAGAAGAATTTATGTCTGATATGCCATTGATAATTGCAATTGGAAAATGAGCGCAATAAAAGTGAATGAGAATTATTTTTTCAACTCATACCGTATACTTAAAACTATGATTGTATGTACTACTTAATGTAAAGTTGACATGACTTGCAAAGAAATTAACTATAGAAAAACATTGATATAGCTATAAAAATTTGCTATGAAATAATTATATATCAAAATTGTCATATAATTTGTTACAAAATATAATAAAAAAGATAAAAATATATTTATCCATAACTATTTTTGTAACAAAATTTGTTATTGATTTTTTCCATCAATAGTATTGAAGCAAATTAGCCACGTGTTATTTTTTATGGCAAATTTGTATTACATTTATTCACAAATATATAAGCAAATAAAAAAAATAAAAATATTCATATCTAATATTGTGGAAAAATATTGTATAATAAATTATTTTAACTAACAATTGAAAATCATAATAATTTTTACTACAAATATATATATATATACAATTTATTTATACTTCTTAAATTTTATTTTAATATTTTACAATTTATTAAAGTATAATACTTATGGATAGTTGAGGGCTTCGCCGTTACACTACATAAATTTAAAGTTTACACAAAATTTTTTTTTGTCTAAAACTGATGTTTGATTTTAAATAAAAACATAAATTAAACAAATTTTATACAAATAAAAAACATAAAATATTTATATTCTTTTGAATAAAATAAATAAATAAATAATTGTTCAATCATTTATATTTATAGTTTTTTTTAAAGATCACATAACAATTTATCTCCAAAAAAAACTATAAAATAAAGAATTAAAAAAACAATTTAAATTTTTTTTATTTATTTTATTTGTATAAAACTTGCATTATTGGGTTCAGATTTTGTGCAAGTTTTATATTACAACAAGAGGATTTCACGCAATAAATAAAGCACTAGATGTTTTATACATTTTTACTAAAATATAAGGGATGTTATATAATTTACCCTATAATAAATTTAAAAAATGCATAATATATTAAGTTATTAATATTTATGTAATATAATTATATGATTAAGAATAAAATTTAAATTGTCAAAATTTATCTATATAATTAATATAATCACATAAAAATAGATAGATATTTTATATATATAGTTAAAATTTCCACCATTTATACGAATTCTTCAATCATGTCATATAGTTTTTTCTTTTCTTTCATTCTTCTTTATTGCTATCCATTTTCATTTATCTTCTTATCTGCATTATTTTCTTTTTCCTTTACGATAAAAGTTTTTTTCTATTCTTCTTTAGGTGTTTCAAAAATAGAGATCATGATTCATTTATCTTTGTTGTTCAGGTATGCAGGTACATATAAATAACAAGTATTGATGTTGTTCATGAATTTAAAGGTAAAATTTAAATATTTTTTTTTTTTATGCTAGAATTTTGATGTTGTTAGAAATTACTTGAATATTTATTTGATTTTTATTTTGTAATATAATAATGTTTAACTTATTTTATTTGAAGGAATACTCGTTAATTAAACAATTTTAATTTTATGTATTGATATATTATTTGAAGTCTTCATGAAATCATCATATATATTGAATCGTTTGTTATTTTTATAATACTATCTTTTTAACTAATATTTTGTGAATTTTTTATTTTTCTTTACTCTTTCTCTAATTTTTAATATTCATAATAAGTATTTCTTTTCCTCATTTTTCATTTAGAAAAAAGTAAAATTTGCTTGTCTTTATATATATATATATATTTACTTTTTTTTTTTTTTGCTAATTTTGCTTTCACTATTTTGTTTTTTTAATACAAATTACTTATATTTTTTTATTTATATTATTAGCTTTTTTGCCATTAAATTAATATTTGGGGGTATTTATAAAATAATTTATCAAATAGCTTTTAGTTTTTTTGAATAAATTTTTTTTTTATATGTTTCATTAGTCAAATTAATTAATTTAAGTGATTAATAAAGTATTTAATAAATTAGCTCTTTTAAATAGGTTATTGTACTTGTACATAAAAGGCTAATTCAAAATAATTTTTTCACTCTCATTTTTCTTATTCACTTTTTCTCTTAAAATTTAAATATTTATTTCACATCTACTAATATAGTTTTTTATTACAATATCTATTAATTATTTAATATATTTATTTTGATGATTTATACATTTAGTTTTATACATTTAAAGTAATTGGAGTTATTATTGTTTATATGTAATTTTTCTTTTTTTAATTTCTAAGTTTGTTAAAGAAAGGAAAAATAAAAAAAATATGAATATTATTAATTTATATATTTATATATATTTTATGACATAATTTTTTTATTAAAGATGTAAATATTAAAATAAATTTATTTAAAACTATAAATTTAATAAAAATTAAATTAATTAAAAATAAATATACGAATAAATTTCTTCTTTTATATTTTATACTATTTTTAATGAATAAAGCTCATATATTTTTTTAAAAAAATATATTAATTTTCTTTAAAAATATTTTTAAAAAACAACAAAATCAGATATTTTAATAAAATTTTTATAATTTGCAATAACTAATAATCAAAATTCTAAAAAAAATCCTATGCACCAAAAATAATGCAATTAAATATTTTTAAAAGTACATAAAATGTCTCTAATTGTCATTTTACGTTTAACAACTAATTTTATCAGTTAATTGTCAAACATCCATTTGTATGTCACTAATGATTTATTCTATTTTTTTTTCATTATTATTTTTAGGATTTATTTAGAAGAAAATAGAAAAATTATTGGATATCAAAAAGAAAAAGAACGTTACAATCGAAGACCAATGAAACACATATCAAGACTTTAACATCATAATTCAAACACATGGCCAATAGCAGCATATATTTCAGAATTTTAATAATCCAAAATTCGGAAGATTTTGTTCCATGTGTATTTTTTATAGTATTATGCAAATATATTTGATTAAATATTGTATTGATGTAACTATATGTATTTAAAAATATTAATTTTATTAACTAATGATGGTTTATAATAGTGTTTAAAAAATATAATGTTGTATTATTTTTTTATTGTTAATATTTATAATATTGAATTCTACCATTTAAATTTTACATCAAATTTTGTATTCATATGCACATGAAATATTGAAATATTTTATTTTAATTTGTTTAAATATTAATTATTCATGACAAAATTTATTCAAATAAATCAAGTCAATTTGTGTGGAAATTTTTTGTAAAATAATTACTCCCTCCGTCCCAAATAAGGTGCAACATTTACTTTTGGTACGGGTTTTTAGGTGTGTAGTATTAAGTAGGATAATTTAGAAATTAGGTGATGTGATGGAGAGAGAAATATATATTTTATTTTTTTATTTGGTTGATGTGAGAAGATAAAGTGTGAGGTAGAGATTAAGTATAATTAATTATTTTCTATTTTTAGAAATGTTTGCAGAATGTTTGGTACATACCAAAAATGAAATATTGCAGGATGTTTGGG